TGGCAAAACAGTATCTATTCCCAGACACGTCAGTACTTCACTAACATGGTGGGACAATCCCAAAAATTTGCTATCAGGGGTCCCCTTCCACGGACAAAGGCCCTCAGTGCAGATCACAATGGATGCTTCCTTGATTGGTTGGGAGGCCCATTTACAAGAACATCGAGTTTAGGGGCTCTGGATGCCACAGGAATCCCTTCAGCACATAAATTTCCTCGAGTTGTGAGCTGTATCCAACGCATGCAGGCACTTCCTCCACAGGATCTGAGGTCTTGCAGTCCACATTCTCACCAACAATATATGCACAGTATAGTATATCAACAGGCAAGATGGTGTGCGTTCACGCCCCCTTTGCGTGGAGGCTATACGGCTGTGGAACTGGGCAATCCGTCACCATATAACCCTTACCGCATCGTACCTTCCCAGCAAGGACAATATCATTGCCGATGCCCTCAGCAGACACTTCCTTCCTCAGCACGAGTGGGAGTTACACAACGAAGTTGTTCGCGATCTTTTCCATCTCGGGGGGTTCCCGAGTATAGACCTCTTTGCCACTCGTCACAACAAAAAGTGTCATCGTTATTGTTCGCGAGTGGGTGTCGGCATGAATTCCTTGGGAAATGCTTTCCTACTCGATTGGGGTCGTCACCAGCTACTCTATGCATTTCCTCCTCTTCCTCTCATTCTGAGGGCGCTGGAGAAGATAGCGCTGGAGGGCGTGACAGTGATTTTCATAGCACCTTTTTGGCCCCGACAGACTTGGCTGATGTAATTGTCGAGAATGTTGGGTGCTCGATCACGACAACTGCTGATACGGTTCGACTTGCTGTCTCAACAGTACGGTACGATGGTGCATCCGGACATCGACCGCATGCACCTCATGGCGTGGCTCCTAACTGGCTCCAACCACCAGAAATGACCTGCTCTCGGGCAGTAAAACATGTACTGATAAACAGCAGATGCCATACCACTCGCAAAACCTACCTCTACAAATGGCATGGATTCCAAACATGGTGTCTGGAGAGGAACTTTGACCCTCTCTCTTTGCTGGTGCAGCAAGCTTTGGATTACATCCTCCACCTAATGACAGAGAGGTTAGCAAATGCTTCGCTGAAAGTTCACTTGGCAGCAATCTCGGCCTTCCGTCCTCCCATCGACGGTCACTCGCTGTTCGCTCACCCGTTAGTTAAAAGATTCCTAAAGGGACTCAGGAATCTGTACCCGACCTACACAATTCCACCGGAGCCGTGAGACTTAGCCCTGATACTGGACACACTAACTTGTCCTCCCTTTGAGCCGTTAGCAACTTGTGAGTTGCACATGCTCATGATGAAAGTGTCATTCCTCCTGGCAATCACTTCAGCACGTCGAGTTAGTGAATTGGCAGCTCTTTCGGTCGACCCACCGTACACATTATTTTCTGAACGGGGGTACTGCTTCGTGTTCATCCCCCCTTCTTCCCAAAGGTAATCTCTCCCTTTCATATAAACGAGCCCATAAGCCTGCCAGCATTCTATCCAAAACCTCATTCTTTGCCAGAAGACTCGCGTTTACATACTCTCAATGTCAGACGGGCACTGTGTGACGGACCAGGCCGTGTCTGGGCACAGCTGAGGGCATCCGCTCAGGGCGAATTGCTCAAATCCGGGGCTTCTTACAGCCCCCTTGACTGGTGACCTCTCCAAACAGGCCACAAACCAGTCCCACAGAGCGCTTCAGCTGCCTGCCTGAAGCCTCCCGAGCAAAACCCCTCCGACACCCCAGCAATATCCGTGCCCCAGATGGCCCCGGGCCTCATACACAGGTGGGGGGGTCCTCTAGCACCCAATCCCACCTACCCCGAACAAGTTCTGTCCGGTTCCAAGAAACCAGCCACAGATCCCTGGTCAATTTACCCTCTGGACCTTACCCACAAATCACGCTGGGCCAATCCTTTAGAATCTAAAACTAAAGGTTTATTAACACAAGAAAGAAAAGCCTGAGAGTAAGGTTATTAAAGTACAGTACGTTACATGCACCGAATCTCCCAGTTCTCGATGCAGGCTCTAGCAGAGGTGTTGCAGCTGCTGGTTTAAAAGTTCTTATTGCACATCCTACGATCAGGATGGGTTCCCAGGTCTTCCGGGCTCTTCAATCCCTGCAGTGCTGCCTCTGGGATGAAGTGCTGAGCTGAGAACAAAATGGCATCGACCACATGGCCTCTTTATACTCCTTCCTGGCCTCTTCTAGTCTGCAGCAAGTCACCTGGTCAGAGGCCAATCTCTATATTTCCTGCTGGCTGCCCTCAGGTGACAAATCCCATTCTTTGGGTGTGTCCATAGCCTATTGAGAGCCATTGTTCCACAGGGCTTTGCTACTCAGCCTGTCCATAGCCATGCTTAACCACATTCACAGAAATATTCAGCTTCCACACAGATTACAGATTCCTACCTACACACACAGACATTATACACTCACATAAATAGCGTACATAAGATCAACAAACAATAATCTCCCATTCAATACCCCACATGGCTCCCCCCACACCAATTTCTGGGGCCAACACCCCCACCTAGGGGTGCAGCAGTGATTTGGCTGCTTCCCTCCAATTCAGCAACGTGACACACTGGCCTTCGATCTGGATAGAACATGCGCTTTCAGGAAGTCTCGGCGTCTTTTTGTAGCTACGGCAGAGCGTTCGAAAGGCCAACAGCTCTCCACACAACGTATTTCCAACTTGATCACCTCTTGCATCACACATTGTTACGCCCTACGGCATGAACCTTTACCGGGATGGCCTCGCGCTCATTCCACCAGAGGCATGGCTGCATCCACTGCTTACCTTAGAGGGGTGCTCTTGCAGGACATATGCCGTGCACCAACTTGGTCATCTGCTCTTACCTTTACCAGGCACTATGCCCTTGCAAAAATATTGAAGAACGATTCAGCGGTGGCGCAAGCAGTCCTGGCCACAGCGCAGAGACCATAAGTCTGAAGCACACCAATAGCATTGGACCACTCCTGTGTACTCACCTCGAGTGGAGCACCCTCAGGGACACTACTCGACGAAGAGAGAGTTACTTACCCTGTGCAGTAATGTCTGTTCTTCGAGCTGTGTCCCCCCGTGGGTGCTCCATCACCCACCCTCCTCCCTGCTTCAGAGCTTCTGTTTTATTTTTCAGACGCTTCCGGTTGGGAGGAAACTGACAAGCTGGCCCGCACTCAGCTGTAATGGCTCGAACAGTGTGAGACAGCAGGAGCGCATGCGCGGGCCAGCAGGGCTACTGCTATGGAAGTTTCTCCGTTTGTGGCACCAGGACAAGCCCAGCACCTCGAGTGGAGCACCCACGGGGACACACATCTCGGAGAACAGACGTTAGTGCACAGGGTGAGTAACTCTTTCACTTAAAGCTAAACTTTACTTAGTCTCAAGCACTTACACACGTCCGCAACAGGTTAGTAAAACACCTTCACTCTCGATAATTACCGAAGTTGAGTGTGACTTGAGTGACACCGGGCAGGCTTCCGTCTGCCGGTGGAGACGAAGATGCGTCCAGATGCGAAGAGTCCTCAAGGAGTCCCTCCAAGTGTTCCCCAAAATTGTCCCCCTAACTCAAACTTTCCTTCCCTATTTATCCATTAGGATTACAATAACATGTCACTCAAAAATGTGTTAGGCAAGCACTTTTTAAAGGTTAGGCAAGAGGTTTTCTTCTGATCATCACTTTCACCAGATGCATTTTTTCTTTTTTAGAGACTCCATGCTCGGGGGCCCTGACAGATATATGTCTTAGGGCATCTAGACAAACTTCCTGTTTTTCTTAATGTATAGCTCAGCGATTTCACTAGAGATTTGGGCCTCTGGAAGGTGCCCTCTCTGTCGCACCCAAACTCCCTTTTTTTTCCCTGACTGTGGTCATGCGGAAGTTGCAGTTGAGGTCTAATTTGGGCCTGTTAGCTTGGTTGCTAAAGAGTAAGCAGTAGTGGTTCAGGCACATTACTGGATTTGCCGAAATCTCCCCATACAGTACCTTTTGAGGCATTTACCATCTCCTCGGGTCAATATGAAGACTGGCTCCAATTATGACTTACTTTCTTTCGCTCTCTCTCGCACACATTCTGTACAACAGTGTCCATTCATCCCAGAAATCCTCTTTTTCTTGTTCATCACATCCCACTTGAGAGTCTGCACATATAACATTTAGGGGGTCATTTTCGCCAAAATTGCAGCTCCCTGGCAAAGGGCTTCTGTTGGCACTTCACTGGCAATGTTTCCCCATCCAACGGCTGCCTCAGAGATTCTCCTTAAAGGGGTAACCCCACTGCAAAACCAAGGAAAGGAGCTGTGGAAAAGTCTGTCTGTCCAGGTACGTGTGGGGCACTATTTTGGCATCTGTGTCCACAGTGTGAGGCTGAATGAGGTTTTCTGGAGAATGTATGGGGTGATGGAATTCAGGACAACTGCAAAGAGTTATTGTTTGTCAACTTTTAACAGGAAACTGTGGTCTGTAAGCCCCTGACTGGTGATAGTCCTCAGGGTGTGCTTATTGACCAACAGTGCAAGACTGGGTGGTTGGTAGAGCAAGTGACATTGTGAGCAGCTGTTTCTCAAGTGGTCTGCAGAATGGAAGTGTTGGAGAGCTGTACAATACAGCGTTGTTATGCATGCTAAGCGCCTTTTACCATAGACTCTGCTTCCAATTTTATTCTTGCAGCATCCTTTATGAGGCAGAGAAATAATGTTACTTCCATTTTATAGATGAACCACAACCAAGGCTCATAGAGGCTAAATGACTCGTCCAGGGTCACAGAGGAAGTCTGTGGCAGAGAAGGAAATTGAACTTGGGTTTCTCTAGTCTCATGCAAGTGCACTAACCACAGGATCTTCCTTCCTTCCTTTCTGTAACACAGTGTTTGATGGTTAACTGACTTACGGTATGCTCTAAAATGGTTTGCTGTTTCATTACTTAGTCATGATTTTTGCTTGAGGTTCATTCCCTTTCTGCTCTGCATTATTTCAGGACTAATAAATCATCCAGTCGGAGCAGTGCTCCTAGTGATTACTCCAGCCTCAGTGACTCTCAGTTCCTCTTTGGTTCCCAGTTCTGTCCAGAGAACTCTCAGTCAGCACCAGTGCCCCTGGAACTCAGTGTGCAGGCAAGACAACAGAAAAGCTCCCAGCAGAACTCTCAGGATGTGAGTTTGACTCTTGTGCTACCTGTGGGGAAGTATTAGCAATCCAAATCCATCCTGAAGGCTGCCAGCTCTGCAGGGGAGGGCGCAGTTCCCCCAAAGTGTTTGCATGTCGCTGTACATGTGCATTCCCCTCTTGGTGTGAACTCACACAGTTGCCTGACATTGTTCCCTCAGTGGTACTTGTCAGGGCAGCTTGAGCATCCTTTGCTGCCATTCACCAGTGGGACCAGTAGAAAGGATTCTGCTGACCCCAGGCCTCCCCAGTTCCTCGCTGCCATGCATGGTGGTCCCTGGAATGGCTTGTGTTGCTTTGCAAGTGCTCTCAGCAGACTGGGTACTCAGGTGTTGTGGTGTGACTCGTTGGGCTCAGTAAGAACATAAGAATGGTCGCATGGGTCAGACCAGTGCCCTTTCTTCCAACAGAGGTCCATCCCAGATGCTTCAACGAGAATGAACCAAACAGGGCAATTAACAAGTGATTCATCCCCTGCCACCCAGTCCCAGCATCCGGAAGACGCTGAGACTGTTATTACAGGCATGGGTGTTCCAGTATAGTTACTCAGGCGTTAGCCCACCCGAGGATTTCAGTGGATTCCTAGTGCCAAGTGGCCCTGCATTTCCTGCACTAAGGCTATGCCCAGGAGTGACCCCCCCACTCAAGCTGCTTAAAGTGCAGTGGGGAAGCTCATCTAGGGGAGCATTGCCACATTTGCAGGGACATAGAAAGATTATGAAACCAGGCTAAACTTCCCACTCATAGAGAACGAGAACATCAGAACGGCCAGGCTGGGTCAGACCACAGTCCATCCAGCCCAGTGTCCTGCCTGCCCACAATGACCACTGCCAGGTGCCCCTGAGGAAGTGATCAGAACAGGGAATCATCCAGTGATCCCTCCCCTATAGCCTAGTCCCAGCTTCTGGCAAAAGCAGGACTTGAACCCCAGCTTGTACTGCTGTCAGGTTCGCAACAGCCTCATACCGCCAGTGACAGGATCTGAGCAGGGTGGTGAAACTGCTCCAAACCCTCCAGCTGCAGGCGTGCACCTCCAGCCTGAGTCCACCACCACTCACCGTGCAGCGCCTTGGAAGAGGCACAAGAAGCAGACTGCAAGAGGGGAAGAGCCCCAGCACCCAGGTCTGCTAGGCCTGGGTATCATAAGGCGTAGCACACCTCTGCTTTGGCACCATTGACAGTGGAACCTAGACTGGTGCCATTGAGTCTGGAGCACGAAAGGAGTCCCTTCCGGGTCTGCAGCACTGTACCATACTGACCCTGCTGGAGCCAGCCAGAAATCGCCAAACCCTGTGGGCGCTGGTGTGTCTGGCAGCCGAGTCAGCACTAGAAGTGCTGCCAGATGTGAGAGGACTCGCTGAGCCAGCCTCACGTACCACTGCTGGCTTGCCCTTTGGTGCTGCGATGCTCACTAATCTCATGCCTCCTCCTCCACCTGGGCACTGGGCATGAGAACCATGTGGAAACGCCCCTCTGTGGGCAGCAGGAAAGTCGTCTTCCTCCAAATCAGAAGTTAGGGCTGATGTCTCACATCATCCGAGACACTCACTGCTCCTCCTCAAGGCACTGCTTCCAACCACAGACCCCTCCCCAGGAGTGGCCAGGATGTCACTAGGGGCTATACCTGGCCATTAGCCTAATGGAATCTTTGGGGCTTTTCCCCAATTACATCTATGTTCCTTTTTACAGGGCCATCCCTTGGCAGGTGCAGGGCTCAGAACATCCCCCTTTCCCCCTGCTGGGCTGGCTCAACCTTTGCTGCCAGGCCAAGCCCCCCAATAATTCCCCAGGCCACCCTGGGCCCATGAAGCTCCCTAGTGTGCAGGACCCAGGGCGGCCACTCCGAATCATCCACTGGCTTTGCCTGTTTGGTGGCCTGAGAAAGAAATGTGGCACCTCCCCACCATCCAGCCCTCCTTCCTGGCTCTTGCTGAGCAGGACCCTGCAGTTCCAGAACTGGAGGAAGAGCAACTCCAGCCAGTGCTGGCCTCCGCTTCCCCTGCCAAGGCAGTTTCAAAAGGAGGCATTTTGCAGTAAGGCTTGCTAGGAAGCAAAACCCTCCTCATGTTGCCTGATTGACAGTTTGACACAGCAGATCCTTCCAGATTGACCACCCCTCTCAATGGGGCCATTAAGGTCCTTGCTAAGGCACTATGGCAGACCCCTCGTCCCTTTCCCCCACTTCTAAAGGGGCAGAGTGCAGATGTTGTGTGCCCTGCTAGGGTGTGAGTTTCCATCCTAGCCACCCTGGTACCTGGTGGCTGCTGCCAATGAGAGTGAAAGATGGGGGCCTCAGAGCACGACCCCAAAATCAAAATTCTCCAAACAAAAGAACCCTGGGCCTATATGCTATCAAAGTTTCTTCCACTGTGGAGTTGCAACTCAGGCTCGGCAACCAGCTTTCCCTTTTGGGCAGATGTGGGAATCCAGGACAAAAGGCAGAGACCTGCTGCCAGAAGATGCTAGGCTGAAGTTCTTCCTGCCGGGCTAAGAGAAGATTGGTGGTGCAGGCATTGTGGCAAGTTGCTCTGAAAGCAGCTGGCTCAGCGGCCAGGTCCATGTGGAAGAGCTCCTGGATGCAATCCTCTGGGCTCCTGCAGAGGCCAGACCAAAGGCATGCCTGTTGCCTAAGGGATCGGCACTCTTTTTGGAGCAAACTGATGCTAAGCTCCATGGGTTATAGGACTCAAGGGTTCCAGGAAGCCCTTCAGACCTCCCCAGCCCCTCTGGTTTTCTGACCCAGCTATCTGACAAGAGCCACAGTGAAAGAAGAGTAGGGGTTGTAGACAAAAAGCACCTTCTCCTCTGGCTCTGCACCCAGGCCTGCCCCAACCCGGACATGCAGGGGTGCTAAGCAGGCATTCTGAGGGGCTGCCCAAGGACACCATGTCGGGTTCTAGGTCGCCAGACCCTATTTGTCCCATTCCCTCAGAGCCCGTTGAATGCTGGGCACTGTGGCAGTAGGAAACATGCCCCTCCTTCACATTGTTCCTCCCCAGTTCAGGATGTTCAATCTCCTCTTTCTCATGGGAGCCCTAGGAGAGGTTCTACAGAATGTAAGGGGTAAGAGCGTTTACATTCATTATTTGCTAATCCAAACGCCAAGGGAGGTCTTAGATCTATTTTAGACTTGCATTAGCTCAACAATTATCTCATAAAGAGAGTTGTGCCTGGTTGCCCTGGCATCCATGAATTCCACACTAGATCCTGGAAACTGCTACCCGCCCTCAGTTGAAGAAATTTCATGTGTCAGTGTACTAAGACACAGAACGTTTCTGAGGTTCGTATGAAGCACTTACATTCTTAGCTCATCCAGTCTGCAGCTCCCCGGCTGTGGCTGGGGAAGCAGCATTCCCAGTAAGATCTAGGAGGGTAGCTCTGCCCTCCACTGGAGGACTGGTTAGTCCAGGGTTCTCCAGAGCTCTGGTTATATCCAGCACTCAACTCATCCAGTCAGCCCTCACAGCCCTGGGCCTATTGATAAGCATGGACAAGCCCTGAACAGAGGATAGCTTGTGGGGCTGCATTCCTTCCAGAGGCCGCATCCCAGTCTAGTCTGACACCCAGATTCATCCTATCACAGCACCTCACAGCTTATGAAACTTCTGGAGTACATGGAGTTGGGCTCACATGTGGTACAAAACACTACGCTCCAGGCAGGGCTGGCTTCAGCTTACTTGCCACGTCGCCATCTGGACACTGGCATCATGTTATCTTTGCAGGTTCTAATTTCATTGAATTGGTGAGCAGACCGGGCGGGCATTCCCTTCCTTCACCCTCAGCCTTCAACGGCTCTGGTCTCAGATACATCATTTCTAGGGGTGGAAGCTCACTCGGGGCCCCTCTGAACTCAGGGCCTGTTGTCCTTGAGGGACATGGACAGGAGCAAGCCCTTTCGGCGGTCCACCAGCTGTTCATGGCTGCTGCACACAGAATAAAAACTTCCAGTCTCCTTGCAAATAATTTCACCTTGAATAACACCCTGTATCCACGTTTAGCAGAGGAATGCCTGCATGCGCATGACAGACAAGCTGACTGCTTACTCCACAAGATTGCAAGCACCTCAGTGGTGTTCCTGGCTCAGATCCCAATCTAGGACATTTGCAAAGCAGCAAGCTGGCTTCCCATTATGCCACCCAATTTTCTAGAGATGATGCCAAATTTGGTCCAAGTGTACTAAGGTCTATCCCCATGAACTCCAATCTTTCTCAGTAGGGTAGCTGAGTTAGTCTGTATCTGCAAACACCAGGAGTCCTGTGGCACCTTAAACACTGAGAGTATGTCTACACTGCCCCCCTAGTTCGAACTGGGGTGGCTAATGTAGTCATTCGAACTTGCAAATGAAGTCTGGGATTAAAATATCCCAGGCTTTATTTGCATGTTCTCAGGCGCCGCCATTTTTAAATGCCCGGTAGTTCGAACTACCGGGCATTTAAAAATGGCGGTGCCTGAGAACATGCAAATAAAGCCTGGGATATTTTAATCCCAGACTTCATTTGCAAGTTCGAATGACTACGTTAGCCACCCCAGTTCGAACTAGGGTGGCTAATGTAGTCATTCGAACTTGCAAATGAAGTCTGGGATTAAAATATCCCAGGCTTTATTTGCATGTTCTCAGGCGCCGCCATTTTTAAATGCCCGGTAGTTCGAACTACCGGGCATTTAAAAATGGCGGTGCCTGAGAACATGCAAATAAAGCCTGGGATATTTTAATCCCAGACTTCATTTGCAAGTTCGAATGACTACATTAGCCACCCTAGTTCGAACTAGGATGGCTAGTTTAGACATACCCTAACAGATGTATTAGGGCATAACCTTGCGTGTATAAAACCCATTTAATCACTAATGTAATATACGCCATCAAGTGCCAGCAGTGCCCCTCTGCCATGTATATTGGCCAAACCAGAGAGTCTCCATGCCAAAGGATAACTGGACACAAATCAGACATCAGGAATGGTAACACACAGAAATCTGTAAGGAAACATTT